GCATGACCCTTCGATTAGGTAGTGTGCCCAGAGGGCATGCAGTCATTCCCGATCCGTTACCAAATAATATCTCTCTGGAAAGTGTGTCGGGCTGGGAGCGCTTAGCGCGCTCACGCCCCGAGCAGGCTTCGGTAAGACACGTGGAGGAGTGACAAGTTCCATAAGCATATGCCCACTCCGCTCTCCACTGGGCGACCTTATATCGAAACTCCAACCCAGAACCCGACTCTGACCCTTCGCATTTCAGGGGTTTTTTCCAGTACCAACATCCTTGCATAGTAAAAAGGCTTCCGTTAAGAAATTTCTGCCACTACATTATCGGTGTGATGCTGACACCCTACGCATGACCATTCGTGAGAGGGCCTAACAAGCATTTCTGCATGCTCTCAGAGCCTTTCTAAAATTTCTTGTGGACGGATTAATTGCGTGTATTTTCTCATACTAATACTGACTTTTTTCCCACCCTGGCGCTATTGAACTTACATCGGTAACAATTTTTCGCGATCAGCTTAAATATAATAATTAATTGCCTGCTCTTTAGTGGGAATTGATCCATATTTTTTTGAAAGCTCTGGAACCATCCCTTTGTTATTTTAGCAGTGTTTGATCGTCGCTGACCCTTGGCTTTCGCTTAGCTTAGTGTGTTCGTGCCGTGATTTCAGACGTCGTTACACATCGGAAGCAGCTTGATGAAACCGCCGACCTTGACGGCAACTCACTGGATCGCCTTATTGACATCATCGAAAAGTATCCAGGCGACGGTACAGTACGTCCCATATCCGGCTATAATTTCGCGTTCAGTCGATTACGCAAAGGTAGAAGCAAGTGCTCAGTCATCTGTGTGCTTTTCTCGTCATCCTTTTGCTTCCTTTCACTTTATAGTTGTAACCAGTATGTGGTTAGATTAGTCACGATTGGTGTGAGTAGAGTAGAAAACTTGCACGTCGGACGCTACTTGCGTTCGATTCCCCCAAACTGGTGTGGTCAAAAACAATATAATCGAAGTAGTTCTCTTGAAGTAAACCAAAAACTGCGACCATGATATTGCCAGTTTGACAGAACGAGCGCAAGTGGTGCAGCACGGTGTTTGTTGTTGACGTACACTCATACTCAGTCATTAATAATCATTAAAACAAAAAATGGGCCTCTTCCAGTAAGGAGGGGGCATGTGGTTCAGAGTGCTCAACGTGTTTAAGGCCACGCATAGCATATTCTCCCAGTGAGAAGAGTTAGGGCTAAGCCCTAGAAGGGAGGGAAACCTCCGGGTTCGTGAGCAATCTTCGCTTTCTCGAGGGATCTCCTCCCCTTCCTAGGCTTACTCCCAGCTGCTCACTAGGTAAATATTACTTTCGATATACGTTCATGTCATGAAACCCATGAAGCCTCTTTTCCCGGTGTCGAAATGCTGTAGTGACGTAGGAGCGGAAGCATTAGGCCACTTAATAGAAGGAGAAGAAGCAATCGCTGGGGCGCTAGGAAAATTATCAGCCGATAGCAACGCTCGTAAACTGTTAGGAGCCCAGGTAGATAAGAGCGACTCTGCAACATGCAGTGACATCTCTGATACGCGAAGAGGAACGCCCCCCAAGATTGATACGAAGCAATTACGTATTCGCAATGATATGATTCCTTTCAGCTTGTCAGGATGGGGAATTTGGATCACATTGCCAGTACACGTGCAGTGACTGTAAGAATGGAGGTTTGTCATTATTCAGGAATAAGATGTGCGAGCGACATGCGGTTTCATGAAGCTTTAAAGGTAATGTGGCCAAAGCTCTACAGAGCGTAAGTACAGTAGGCGGAACCCTGTCACGACGGGCGGGGCATGCGCTGAAGTAGGCTGTGCCGGATGCGAAAATTCCTACTTCGCTTACATTACAGCCCAGAGATTGAGAGAATGGAGATAAGTGGGAGGGACAAGATTTGGGACACTAACGAACTGAGTAACTGAACAGAATCGTGACCGTGTTTGGACGGAAAGTTTCCCCAATAGACTGAGGGATTGTATCATTCTAAGACGGTCTTGTGTGAAGGCGAAAGTAACCGATGGAAGTGTAGGGCCAATCAAGAAACCAAGGTAGAGTGGTCAAGTAGTGCAGAGAGAAAATCATGGAGAAGCGGACCTGAGAAAAGAAAAATGCCCTACGGAATGTTGACTCCAATGTTGATTGATGCTGATGACTCCCATCGGTGCCGCCCTCGTCAACGCTAAGAAGCTTTTTCTGAACGTCTAGAGTCAGATAGCGAGAAGGTGGGCGTGATGCGGAGCGAATGGCGCGGTATGGCCCAGCTAGGCCGCTCGAGGCATACTTTTCGCTGCAAAACTCACGTCATCCCGCACCCTTGGGAGGCCGCCTACCTTTCGACTTGGTGTACACATTTCCTCTTCCTGGACCCTCGACCCTATTGTGGAATCCTCGAAAGCAGCTAGGAACCTGGAAGAAACTGGTGAACGTGGCGAAGTGTGTTAAGCGCGTCCAAAGCTGAGGGCACTCGACCCATCGCGAACGAGGCGGAGCAAGGAGGCCCTGCGCCGAACCTGCCCTCGGATGAGTGGTAGTTAGTGCCTGTATTCGGTGCCCTGCTTAAAGACTTTTAAAGAATAAAAATGAGTAGAGGCCAGCGATGTCAAGTGCACATTGTACTTGGGGCGTGTATTGAGAAAGGTGGGGCCAAACTCAAAAACTCCCATTGTTTTGTCACAAGCGGCCGATTCGCGTGAAGCACGCACAAGCGTGCGAAGCCAAACTGCTGCTCAACTGAATGATTTCTAGAAGGAAAAATTCAGCTGGGAACAAAAAATACAATAAAATCTCAGCATTGTAAAACGGTGATCCTGCAGTCGTATGCGATTCTTAGCTATGAAGTTTGCGAGTGGCGATTTCATTCGAAGATTCAGGCCTATGGAGTTGCTTTGTATTAATTTTTTGCCTATTCTTTATTATTATTTCTTGACACTCCCACTCGAGGAGACTAGTGGAGTTTCGTTGTTCCGTTTCAGCCACTTGCTCTGCTGATAGCAAAAGCTGTGAATGTCTGCCAGGCTTCACGGGCGAAATCTGTGATGATATGTGCCCAGATGGAAGATGGGGAGCGGGTTGCAACCAGGTATCGCTCCCCGACGTTGCACAAAATTTTCATCTAGTCGCGCATAAATTCAGATATGCGGTTGCGAAGGAAAAAGCTGCGACCCAGTGACGGGATCTTGCCGCTGCTCTTCTCCAGAAGAGTGCCCACAGGGTCCATGTCCACCAGGTGCCATGTCCACCAGGTATAATTTAAAGAGGTTCTTTTTCGAGTAAATTTCACAAATACACTGTAAATGTTTCAGGGTTTTACGGTCCTATGTGCGAACTGAAGTGCCGCATGGCATGTCCGGATGGCCGTTGCGATCCTGTTTATGGGTACTGTACTTGTGATGAAGGGCTCTATGGAGAAAACTGTGACAAGTGAGTAAATTTTCAACTTGATTGAAGAAGCGAAACTACTTACGATTAGAGGAAAGATAGGCGGAAGCCATATGGGTGCGGAGCGACACAAAATTCCTAGCGGAGCTTATGCCCCTGACGCTCTGACATGGCCGTAAGCGCGCCGCTATCGCCGCTGCCCGCCCACCGACTGGCTGACCACTCGTGGCAGCTCCTTAACCACTTAGCAGAGAGAGAGAGCGTTAGCAATCAAGAGGGCAGCACCAGAGCCCCATCGATGCGAAAAAGGGTTTTTATCGGCTTCTGGACCTTTTCTCCTGTTTTTTTTTTCAGTCCGACACCACCGACCACCTCTACCATACATCTTATGGACTGCCCTCTAATCATAAACTCCGTCTCTAATGTTAGACTCGCAGGAAAGGCTGCACGTTAGCGAACCCTACGCTGAATAAATAAACAGACGAACCTATGCTTATTTATTACGATCTGTTCCCTGCGTTACCCGTCATCTACGTAATATTTTCGTGGATCCCAAAACAGACGTGGTGACCCGGATGCATTACGATATCCATTGCCTTGAACGTTTTCAGGCCTTGTCCCAGTTTTGTGTTTGGAAGGAACTGTCGTCACACGTGCAAGTGTTCCAGGGAGAACAGTGAAGGTTGCGACAGCAAGGTACTTCTTAGTTTCATTCGAAAATCTAGTGTTCACTTATTTTTACGTTGATTCCTTTTTAAAAGAAGACCGTTCAACAAAAATCTTTCAAACTGAACCAATTCCGTCCAGAAACTTCGATTACTTGGCTTTACATTTATCTACTCAAATACACTTTCGGATCAAGTAATGCAGAATCTAC